CATCATCCAGGAGTTATGGATTTTTCTGGTGAGCAGAGATTTTGGAGAGCTGGCCTGTGAGGATGGGTATCCACCATCAACCCACTGCCCCTGGTTGTAGGAGGGGCTGCCAGGCCTGGTTTGAGTTTTTGGTTCTGAGACTACCCGCCCCCCCGCCCCCATCTTTCAGACTTTCATGTCATTGGGAAGAATGTCATGTCCCTTAACTTCTCTGTGCTCAGTTTCCTCATCTGTGAAATGCAGATATAAATGGTGCCTGCTGCACAGTTAGAAGGATTAAATAAAGCAATGCTTGAAAAGCACAGGGCCTGGCCTTGTCTGACTCTTGGTATCCATGTAAGTTCACAGTCCTTCATCTGAGACCCTTGGGGCCAGATGTGTTTTAGAATCAGAACAATTTTTGGATTCTAGAAAGTAAAGAGGGCATTTAAGGTATATGATATATAACACAGGAGCCCTTGTGGCACAATGGTTAATGTACTAGGTGGCTAACTGGAAGGTTGGTGGTTCAAACCCACTAGCCGCTCCATGAGAGAAAGATGTGGCAGTCTGCTTCCATAAAGATTTCAGCCTTGGAAACCCTATGGGGTGGTTCTACTCTGTCCTACAGGGTGTCTATGAGTAGGAATCAAGTCAATGGCAATGGGTTTGGATGTCATATATAGAATGCCCCAGTGGGATCTGGGCAGCTTCATGATCAGACAATATTTCTGCAGCGAAATGTCTCCATGCTCAGTGGGATAAGTTAGGTCAGCTGAGGTCCAGCTGTGCCACCGAATCAGTTCTAAGCGAGTTCTAGTTTTCAGAGCTCTTTGGGTTTCAAAACAGGTCATGACTGTAGGCCTGAAATCTGTATAAAATGTGTGATTATTTTTTCTAACACTTTTGGAGCTTTCTAGGGGCCAGGTATGGGTGGATATATATGTCTAGGTACAGTTCACCCCAGGTTCCCTTGGGATGTTGGCAGGTGGGGGCGGGAGATGGGAGGGGCCCATGGAACCTGGGCTGGTGCTGCTTCCCCATGGGTAGAGCAGCCTTAGCTGCCCTCCCGACCCCTGGCCCAGAGCAGACAGTAGTTACCTCAGGCAGGAGGCTGAAGTCTCTGCCCAGAATGGCACGGTAGGAGCGCTGGAACAATTCCAAGAGGCTGACAGCCTGGAAATGGAAAGCGTAGGCCACGGCCAGCTGAGGGAAGAGTTTCTGCTGCTGCGTCTGGTAGTCCAGGACTTTTGCCTCTGGGTCACTGAGGGGAAGAGAAGAAACGGGTTTAGAAGATCGCCACCAAACCACATCCACCTTCAAAGCTCCCCAAAGCATAAAAACCAGAGCAACCGACCATTGTGTAGAACTAATTGCAAAACTTGAACTGCTGTGAGGCTGTCAGTGTATCTGTTTCATCCCGTCTAGCGTGAGCGCTCACTCATCTCCCTGCAGAAATACAGGCATTTCTGACTAGGGGTGCCGCCCTCGTGGGGGAGCCTTACAAAGCCCAGGTCTGCTCGTTTTGTATAAGGCTCATTCTGGACCCTGTAGCCCGTGGCATGAAACAGCGCCAGACCCTTGGAATGGTGATGTTGCTCTTCACTTCACAGGTGAGAAAACCGAGGCCCAGCGAGGGCAAAGGACATGCCCAGGGTCACTCAGCAGAGCTAGGACAAGAGCTGCCTGGTTGAAGCCCGGCCCTCAGCCCCACCGGTTCAGGTCAGTTAAGCTGTGTGTCACGCTCTACGCTCTTCCTGTTCTCCCACAGAGGCATCACACACTCAGGCTCCATTTCGCCGTATCCTGGATGTGCGTGAAGGAGCCCTGGTGGTGCAGTGGTTCAGCACTCGGCTGCTAACTGAATGGTTGGTGGTTCAAATTCCCCAGCCGCTCCGCGGGAGGAAGATGTGGAGATCTGCTTCTGTAAATATTACAGCCTTGGAAACCCTATGGAGCAGTTCTACTCTGTCCTACAGGGTTGCTATGAGTCGGAATCGACTCGATGGCAGCGGGTTTGTGTTTTGGGTATGTGTGTCCATTTGGGACATATTTATTCTAAAGAGTATTGGTTGTTTATCTGAAATTCAAATGTAACTGGGTGTCCTGCATTTTTATCTGTTAAATCTGGCAACCCTGTATGTGTGTGTAGGTTAAACAGAGAGGGTATAGAAGGGTATTCTGTGCTGTGGAGTGGAGGGGTGGTAGCCAGACGCAGCCACACACGAGAAAACGAATCCAGGCTTCGTCAGACGTAACGCAGTTGGATGCTGACGATCAGACAGAAGCAGTTCTGATAAAACACTCGGGCTTGGACAGACACACCCTGACAGAACAGACTCAGCCACCCACAGTCGGACACAGCTTCACAACAGGCTGACCCACACTCACTCACCCAATCACAGCCAGACACGCAGACGCTGACAGACACAGACTGAGTCGGCCCGCTGGTACAAGACCAGACACACTGGGTCAGACACGATCACACAGAGCCTGACAGGGCAGCTGGCAGACCCACTGGGGCCCGGCGGTCAGCCAGGGCCAGAGAGGGGTCAGATGGAGACCTCGCAGGCATGGCCAGCTGGGCAGATGTGTGTGTGTGGTGGGTAGTGTCTGCCCCTGCAGCCTGGCTCTGACAGAGGGATGGTGTCAGGGGGCAGGCACCATGGGACTGAGAAGTAGCTGTGTCTGCTATGGTCAGCCTCTGGGGGCCTCTTGCCTGGGCTGGAGCCGGGACTGGCGGCGTATGAGCGAGTAGCGCATGGCAATGACACAAGCCTTCTGCAGCTTGGGTAAGACCGTATTCAACAGCATTTCCACCCGTGTCACCACCATGGAAACGTAGTTGCTCTGCGCGGTTCCGAGCGTGACGTCGGTGCCATCTGGCAAGACCTGTGTGGACCAAGGACAGGTTCTGGGTCTGAGCCCGGCCCACATCCAGCACTGTGGGCCTCCATGCTCCGGGGGTGCCACACGTCTCCAGCCACTCAGCAGCAGACACAGCGGGGCCGGCCAGCGGCCAGCCAGAGCCAGATGGCTAAAATACTGAAACGCTCCTGGGCTTGTTGCTGAATAGCCACTGCCCCAAGTGCCCCGTTCACAGCTCCTCTCCCGGGACCCCTCGGGCCTACCCACGACCCACAACTGAAGGGGCAATGCCTGGCAAAGCAGGGAACCTTCAGAGACTCCTCCAGCACCCCGGCTGTGCCCAGGCGTCTCTGAGGTTAGAGATTGTGCACGTCTCCCCCAGCCCCTTCCCCTCCTCCTCGGATTGCCCTGCCACTCCACGAGGTGGGCAGGGATGACTGATGAGTCTCCCTACTTATGTGTGAGAACTCCGATGCTCAGAGAGGGAAGTGATTTGCCTCAAATCACGCAGCTCCTAAACTGGGGTTTTACCCAGGTCTGGGGGTGGGGGTGGGGGCGCCCAAACTCAGCCTATGGAGGAGGATCCGGATCCAGCGTTGGCCTGTGGGGTCCACCGTTCCCTCCCAGGCAGGGCAGACTGCAGCTTCCCAGGCCCCCAACCTGTGCAAAACGACTCAGCATGTTCTCCCGGGGGACCCGCAAGTGGTCCAGCCGCAAGAAGCCATTGTCTACATGTTCAAAGTCCATCTTGGGCCTAATGTCTCCAACGGTGACTCCTAGAAGGAGAGGGAGACAGGAGTGTCCGTTGGTTGAGTGCTTGCCATATGCCAGGTGCTGCATACCTGTTTCAGCTCACCTGAGCTGCATGCAGCCCGTGACATCAGGGTTATTACACCTGTTTTGCAGGTGAGGAAGCTGAGGACAGACAAGCATTGAATCTTGCCTAGCGTCACCCAGCCAGTTGGCACTAGGTCTGCCCAACTGCACCCCCTCCTTGCTCAAGGGAAAGAGTTGTCCCGGGCCTCGTCTTCTCTCATGGGCCTCTGGGGCCCCAGCACAGGGAGGCCTGGTGGGGATCCCCACCTCGGGGAGCAGCATGAAGCTTACCTAGCAGTGGGGTGTGGTCCTGGAGGCTCCGGATGGGCACAATGAAGGCGTGCATGCCCCGCCGGGCTCCTGAGCAGATCAGCTGGGCCAGGACCAGGGCGTGGCTGGCTGACAGTCCCACTGAGGGCAAGAGATGAGAGGCCAGCGTGATGCCCCGGGCACCAAGCCCGGTGTACAGAGCAGATAGATAGCTCTGCCATCAGGGACCCGGACATGGGCCCAGTCTGTTTGGGGCAGAGGACCAGCATGGTGGCATGGGGAAGCATGGCACTCTGTGAGGCCAGGATGGGCTTTGCTTGGTCGGCCTTAGAGGGCATGGGTCAGGGGCACCCAGGAGCCTGGAGGCGAGGCTATTTCTCTGGGGTAGGGGGGCAGCTGCACAAGGAAGGGAATGCAAGGCAGAGGGAACCGTGTGCTGAGAAGCTGGAGGTCCGGATCGGTGTGGGGGGCATGCGGTGGGGGAGGCAGCCTCAGGGTGGCCAGGGGCTGAGGGAGGCAGGAGGTGGTCAGGCTATACCTTGACTCAAACAGCCTTCTCTGTCATCCCTGGAAACAAATGGAATGATCCAGAGGGGCTTTAAGGTGGGTGCCTGGCTCCAGCATGCACTGAGTTGGAGGGACTTATGGACAGCAATTTGGAGCCTGGAGATGCAGCGAGTTCTATGGGGCAGTTCTGCTCTGTCCTATAGGGTCGCTGTGAGTCGGAACTGACTTGATGGCACACAGCATCAACACAGTGTTCTGAATCAAGCCATTTTCTTGGGGATCCAGGAGACAGAATCTCTGCACCAGAGCTATGGGCTGTGTCAGGGTCCACGGCGAGGACACGGGTCCTGAATCGCGGGATGATTGCTGCCCCCACCCTGGACTCCTGGGCTGGGCTCACGGATGGGCTCCTTTGGGACCTTGGAAAGTTACTGATCACAGACAGGGGAAACAACCCCAAAGAGACAAGTGACTCTACTGGTGACTTGCCAAAGGAATTGTGAAATGACAAAAAAAAAAAAAAAAATTTTTTTTTTTACCTTCAAAAAAACTGTTAAGGAATCATTCTGCCCATCAGCCTGCTAATAATGAATACAGATATTACCATTCATCAAAACCCAGGCGGTGCCAGGCCCTGTTCTGGTGCTTTCCATGTATTATCTCCAGCTCTTGAAGGGCTGTCATGAGTCCCGTTTTCCAGATAAGAAACTGAGGCTCGAGGAGTGGAGTGACATTCTCAGGGTCACTGGCCTGGCGGGGGCAGAGCTGGGATTTGAACTCTGGTCTGCCTGATTTCCAAGGCTGGTTTCTTTGCGGTTTGGGCAGCAGTCTCTGATATTTTCTCAATGTTCTCTCAGGTCTCTCGTCTCTCTCGCCTCACTCGTATCTCTGTCTCTCTCCTTTTGCTTTGGTTTGAACTCCTCACATTTGTCTTTTTATTTTACACACAAGGCGTTCACTGACAGGGTCCCCAAGTGCCACTGACATGCCCTCGGGGTGAATTCATAAAGCAGAGGAAAGGGGCCTGGTGGGACCCCTCTTTGGGGCTTGACAGATAGGGTTGGGCTCGGAGCCTTAGGGAAGCGTGGCACGGTCGCCACCTGGTGGCCGAAGGAGAAGGCGCAGCACTGGATGGCCTTCGTGGCCAAGATGTCCCACCAGGATTGGTGCTGGTGGGGGGCCTCGAGCCTTTCTGGGTGGCTGGAGCAGGGGTGGGGAGGGATGTTTTTCTTAGTAACTGTTTAATCGCAAGGCCCTGTGCTCCAGCTGGTGGCAAGCTTAATCTTTCACTCAGGAGATGAGAGGCATTGGACTTGTGGGGAGCGCCTGGGACTAGGCTGTGTGTCTCCATGTGCACCCACACACGTTTCTGTGTCGGGGCAGTGTGTGTGTGAAAGACGACTTGGCCTTCGTTCCCCAAAGGTGGGGTCGATTTCCTCATCTGCTTCAAAGTTCCCTTGGGAACTTCCTAGCCTCCCACTGGTGAAATGTTTACTATTGCATCCATTTTATAGAGTAAGATCCTGAGGCTCTGGCGGATGCGTTGTTTTGCCCAAAGGCCACGAGCCCAAAGCAGGAAATCCATCTGAGGTCTGTTGGACATAAAAGCCAGTGCTATTCTGCCTTCCACCTTTGTTCTCCTTGGAGAGAGGTAGGGGTGAGGGGTGAACAGATACTTATGGTCCCCAGGCCACCACTTGGTGGCAGTCAGCGTGGGGCTGTGCATCACAAACTCCTGGGTGGCTGCGTCATAGGTGGCTTCAGTCTCCAAGCCCTGAAGATATGTCCCTTGGAACCAAGGAGAGGAGTCAGACATCAGGCCAGGGTGGGGTTCTTACCTGGGGAGCAGCTTCTAGGCAGGCCTAGAGTGCGCAGGCACCAGCCCAGTATGGAGTGGCTGTATTCAGAGGCATTTCTTCTCTTTCACCTGTGGGTTGTGTGGGGGACACGTGGCCAGTCCATGACAAGCATTGCTTCCTGAAGGAATGACTTGCCCCACTGCTAGCCCATACAACGCAACACGTTTGCGCAAATCAGCAAAAGGAACCCCTTCGTCCAGACCCTTGACTGCCCACCTGCTGGAAAGTTTTCATGTTAAATGTACTGATCTGTGATGGCTGAGGTGTTAATGGGCCCTCTGGAGCTGTGCAGTACACAACCTGACCATTGCACGCAGCAGCCCCGGCTCACCGTGTCCCAGTTCTGTCTGGGTGTACGTTGTGATGATCCGGTACTTTTTGCAGAGCATGCCCCATTTGGCAATCTGCTCCTCTGAGCCCAGACTCCTGAGGGCTTTCAGGAATACGATGTGTAGGTTTAAGCCCACGTCTTCACCAAGGGCTCTGTGGGGGAGAGACACCGTGGTTGAGCAGTCAGACTTTGGAGAAAAGGGTGTGGGTACCCTCAGCCTGGACAGGGTATAGGAAGGAAGGGGCACTTGGTATCCTGGTTTCCTGACAAGTGCTGCCTTTGTTGGGGAAAATGGCTCATGGAACTGGAGGGTTTCCTAGTGATCCCAGGTGGATTCCTCTTTGGTGGGGCTGTCCCAGGAGTGAGTACCTGAAAGCGTAGGCTAATTCAGGACCTTCCTCCGACCAGCCCAGGTGCTGTGCTACCATCAGTAAGTGGACTTTCTTCCGGATGGCGTTCTCGTATTGCTCATTCTGGGACATGAGTAAATGTCCTTAAGGCTGAACTCTGGATCGCTGTGGATGATGCTTTCTGCCAGAGACACAGATCAGAGGAATGAGAGATCTAGGTGAGGTGGACCTGGACAGGAAGCCTGACATTACTGTTGTTTTACAGGTGAGATGACTGAGGCCCACGGATGGGAGAAGTGACTTGCCCAAGGTTACGAAGCTATGCAGTGACAGAATCAGGACCAATATCCAGGTTTTCCGCTGCCTGCCAGTAACCAAACCCCAAACCCATTGCCATCGAGTTGATTCTGACTATTAGTGACCCTATAGGACAGGGTAGAACTGCGCCATAGGGTTTCCAAGGAGTGGCTGGTAGATTCAAACTGCTGACCTTCTGGTTAGCAGCTGAGCTCTTAACCGTGGCACCGCCCGGGCTTCTACTAGTAACCAGTTGCTGTCAAATCTGAATCATGGCAACCCCATACGTGTCAGAGCAGAACTGTACTCCATAGGGTTTTCAATGGCTGAATTTTTCAGAATCAGATCAGCAGGCTTTTCTTCCAAGGTGCCTCTGGGTGGACTTGAACCTCCAACCTTTCAGACAGCAGTCGAGACTGGGACTCTTCTATCCCTCAGATGGTCTCAGGGAATACTGGCATGTTAAAGTGCTTTACTGTCCAAAGGAATGAATATCTAATTGTGGAATTTTGAGGGCAGAGAATGAGAGACTGCCAGTGAAGGTCTCGTCTCCCAAGGAAAGCATTATGGGCAGAAAGCAGGTGCTGTACCCCCCAGCTCCTCTTACCGATTTTCCTCCGGAGTGCTGTGTTCTGGGCACCTCTATTGAGGATGTGGGTGAGCTGTTCCGCGTTGAAGGACTGCTTGCACCTCTCGCTGTCTATGTCGGGGTTCACTTGCCTGCTCCAGGTATCCCCCATCGACACTCGGTGCACTGGGCTGCCCATCCTGCCCTGGGGCTGCCGCGTGTCTGAGGAGTGCCCTGGCCTGGCTACTCTGAGGGTCTGGTCTGAACCTGTGTGCAAGAGGACTGCCCAGGGCTGAGTGTCAGCAGGGGTGCTGGGTGGGTGAAAGCAACCCCCCCAAATACCTGAGTTCCCCTCTCCCCCCACACTCCTCCCAGTGGGCACTTGGCCGTGTACCAGGTGCTGTTTAGGCATTGCATGCAGTACTCACCCAATACACGTGATCTCAATGCATGTTAGCCAAGATTGGGACATGTGCTGTCCACTGCAGCTGGCATGACAGCATTGCCTGGGGCCCCCTCATGAGGTTGAGGAGGAACATGAATCTTAGAGAGGTTAAGTGAGTGGCCCCTAGCTGCATAGCTTGAGGTGGCCGAGAGTTGGATAGGGTCTGACCACAAAGCACATACTCTGTGCACACTGCAGCCCCACTGTGGGGACTCATGGGGGGACCGTGTGACCCCATTCACCTGGTCCCCTAGTTCTGGCTCATTCAGCCCCATTTCTGTGAGCCTCAAGGGGGGTTGCTGTGGAGCTGAGGGGAGGAAGCTTGCTCCCTGCCTGTGGAGTATTCCCTGGGACCCCTGCATGTCCCCATAGCCTGGGTGGGTCCTGCCTCCTTCACGGCAAGCCCTCAGCTTCTTAGATGCCCCCCTTCCTCCACAGAGATACAACCACCAAGTACAGTCAATCCTACTTCCTCCGCAGAGAACAACCGCCAAGTACAGTCCATCCTACTTCCTCCACAGAGACACAACCACCAAGTACATCAATGCTACTTCCTCCACAGAGATACAACCACCAAGTACAGTCCATCCTATTTTGCAAGTTTCTCAAACCCATCTCCTCCTTGCTATCCCCTTGGCCACCAGCCCGGGCCACCTGGCCTCAGTGTCTCCCTTGCCTTGTCTCCCAGCTTCCAGGGCGAGCTATTAAACTGTAAATCATCTTTTCCTTCCCCTGCTTGGACTTCACTCCTTAGTGCCCGCTATTTGTGAGATGGAGTCCTTACTTCCTGCCATGTGACCCACCCCCAACCCCCACCCCGGGCGCTCCAGACTGTGCCTGTATCCACCTACGGCCCTCACCTGGGCCTTCTCTCCCTCTGTTCCTGCACACCCGCTTTCTCTCTGGCCACAGCTCAGCTCCCGGGTGTTCCCGAGCCCAGCTCAGGAACCGTTAGAGTGTTAGAAACAAGTCCGTAATTACTCGCCTGTCTCTCCCTGGGACGGTCAGCTCTGCGTTTTCTTGGGTCCCAAGAGCCCGGCTCACAGCACGCGTGCTGTAAACCTCTCCCACGCGCTGCGGCTGTTTTGATTTCTTTCTGTCCTTACCACAACCCTGTGGAAGTGCTACTGGGGTTATTACCGTTATATGGGGGGCAGGAGGCTCCGGAGGGGAGAACTTGGTAAGGTCACCAAGCCATATGTGACAGAATGGGATTCCGACCCAGGCCTCCAAACAAACCCCCTCAACGGGTCTGTCAACTTGAGGGTTTCTAAGTGTGAGACAGGGCTGTGGGGTGCTGACAGGAGGCCTGGCACGGTCGAGGAGTCCCCTCGGCTGCCCCCAGGATCCCTACGGCCACCCAGCCCATCCCTCCCTTCTTGCCCCGCCTCCTCTCCGCCCCTGCACGCGCACTCACTCCAGCCACCTTGGCCTCCTCGCTGTTCTGGAACGCTCCAGGCTCCCTCCTTTGCAGTGCCCTCTGCTCAGAACACTTTCTCCAGAGGCCCCCACGGCTCCCCTCCACACCTCCTTCAAGTCTTTGCTTAATGTCACCTTCTCAGTGAGGCCTGCCTGGCCACCGCCTTGACGATCCAAGCCCCTCCGCCTGTGTTCCCAGTCCCCCTCACTCTGCTCCACTTTCCCCCTCACTCTAACCTACGAGGTAATTTATTCACGTGTCACGTTTGGTTTATTACTGTCTCCCCCTGCTGCACTAAAACGTAGATTCCAAGAGGGCAGGGTCTTGGTGGCATCCACGCTGCACCCTAACACTCGGCACAGGGCCTGGCCCACAGGAAGTGCCCAGTAACTTGGTGTTTAATGAAAGGAAGCAGCACTCAGCTCAGGAGGAGCCCTGAGGCTCATCGCTGGGGTGGGCCCGTCACCTGGGTTCACCCAGCTCCCTGTCCCACTGGCCGGCTGGCCTGACTCACCTTGGTCGGGTGTCTGCCCTCCGAGTCCTGCCTCACCCCCGGCTTCAGGGCCAGGGCCGTTGACGGTGGCCCGGCCCCTTTCTCCTCTCACAATTCAACTCGTAACACCTTGCCTCCCTCCCTCTAGCTCCTGAGTAATAACACCTGCCTTGTCTATAACACACAGGGTATAAAGCCCCATCTATAACACACAGGGTATAAAGCCCCATCTATAACACACAGGGTATAAACCCGTGTCTATAACACACAGGGTATAAAGCCCCATCTAGAACACACAGGTATAAAGCCCCAAGCTTTTGTACCTTGAGGTTATTAATATTTTCTTGGTTCCCCAGAAGAAAATTTCTAATTCCCAGGAGGGATGATTAATGGTGGAATTTCTGATTCTTGGCAGTCTGGGTGAGGTATTTATGAGCAGCCATGTGGAGCCCTGGTGGCGCAGTAGTTAACAGCTTAGCTGCTAACCAAAAGTTCAGCAGTTTTGAATCCACCAGGCGTTCCTTGGAAACCCTATGGGGCAATTCTACTCTGTCTTATAGGGGTGCTATGCGTCGGAATCAGCTCGACGGCGGCAATGGTTTTTTTTTTTTTTAATGTGAAACCTTAAGTTGTACAGGACACATCCGTTTGTTCACTCATCCAGTGCATATTTTTGAGTGCCCACACGATCTCTGCACTCGGGTACAGCAGGAAGCAAAAAACTGCACAGGCTCCTGCCCTTGGGAATCTTCCAGACCTGGGGTGGAGGAGTGTGGTGGTGCACAGCTTGGGAGACAGGCAATCACGGCAGGAATGAGCAGGAGAACCTGGAAGGAAGGCTCATAGGCAGTTCTAACAAATGTAGAACTTTTTTTGAACTTACGACCTTCTGGCTCTTTCTTCCTAGACATCCCCCTCCATCCCCAGTCTCCCCCTTTCCAGCCTCTCTTTATCTTTTTAGTCTCCCCCCAAATATCTCTCTCTTGGGAGGTCGTCCTGGACTCCTGTCTGGATAAGAAGGTCCTGGACACACTTCCTCAGCTCCAAGCTTTTGCCCTTTGTACACCCACTGCAGTGGTGGCTATTTTTCCCCCTTTAATTGTTGGTTTGTGTCTGAATCCCCAGTGAAAGCAGGGCTGTGTCACTCTCTGGTACTGATGCAGCTCCACCCCAGCCCAGGGCCTGGCCAGAGTTGGTGCTCAATGGACACTGGGTAGATGAGTCAATTCTCTCCCTCTGGGGCGTGGCCAAAAGTGGGGAAGAAGTTCGCTGGAGCTTTGGCGTGTTCTTAAGGTAAGGGTTGCTGTGTGTGCACGGTGGGTGCGGGGTGGGGGCTCCATCCTAGGGAACTACTCTGCATACACTTGCATGCCCCGGCACGAGACCCAGCGCTCCAATGTCAAAGCTGGGATGGATCGTCCCTTTACAATGAGCCGTGCACCTGGCACATTTCTCCTGCCAGCTTTCCTGATGGCTTCTGTCCCCACGTGTCCTTCAGAGACTCCAGCTGGTAGTATCACAGGCACTTACAAGACCCCCTCAGGTGGTCCTTCCGTGAGAGGAGTGCTCTGGCAGATGAGCGATTTTCCTCTCCTCTTTCTGCCCTGCAATTTGTCTTGTCTTAGGCTTTGCATTACTATTCAGACTTCCCTACCCGCCAGTCCTCCCCTGGACAGATACTGTTAGCCCCTGCAGTGTGTCCGGCAGAGTGCTGGGTAGGACCCAGGTGTTGGTGAGTGAGCAGGGCCGGGCTGTTGAGAGGCTCCATCACCTCCATTACACAACGACCCTGAGAAGGAGGCGGGGTTTCCCCTTTTGTAGACAAGCAAACAAGCTCTGGGAGGTGATGCACAGTAAGCAGGTTACAGAGCTGGAATTTGAACCGGGTCTTCTGATGACAAAGACTGGCTCTTAGCCTATTTGTGCACAAGTGGGAAAGAAGTCAGGAGCTATCCATAACCCAATGGGAGAACCGGGCTTCCTGTCCTGGCAGGACTTCTGACATGCAGTGACTCTGGGCAGCTGTCCTTTGCTCCTGGGCCTCAGCATCCCCATCTGTAATGTGGGATGTTTGCTCATTAAGGGGTCTTGCAGCTCCCCACCATGCCCAGTGTCCAGCTTGTATCTTGAGGAAGAGGCAGGGCCTGTGACCCACACTTTGTGACTTGTCACCCAGCAGATCCTGCTGGGCCTTTGGAGCCTGGTCCTCTGGCAGGTCCTGTTGCTGTTGGGCATGACCACACACAGGGCAGGAGGGTGGGCCTCAGGAGAGGTGGCCTTGACGCCACTGTTTGTACTGGGTTCCAATGCGGCCTCTGCCAAGGACTTGTGCAATTGTTGACCACGGCCAGTTACTTCATTCCTCTCTGCCACAGCTTCCACGTGTTGATAAAGTCCTGTGTTTCCTGGCCTACAATTTGTCCAATTGTCTCTTCATCAGCTTTGGAGCTGACCCTGTACTATAAGTTTTGGATCTGATCAGTTTGATGTGTTGGACAATTTAATGAATTTTTATAGCTTTAAGATAAGACCTTGCTCTGATGTTTTGAATATGATTAGCTTGGTTTGTTGCATCCAACAATTGATTTCTTTAGCTTAAAATAATAAACAGTTTATTGTAAAAAATTTCAAACCTACACAAAAGTGGAGAGAACAAGATAATGAACTCATGCGCCTAACACTCAGCTTTAACAATTCTCATCTCATGTCTCATTGGCCCTTTTTCTTTTTAACTTTTTATTTTGAAATAACTTTAGATTTTCAGAAATTTGCAGAAATAGTACAGAGTTTCTGTATACCCTTCACTCAGCTTCTCCTAACATTACATAGTCATGACACAAT